GCCTAGGCAATTGATACATGATGCAGTCAATTATCTAGACACAATGTTCATCCCAACAACAAATGGAGCAGAAGAACTACACATGGAAGTTGATGCTGACTACGGACAAAGGAATGTTAACTCCCTTACAAGTATGTATGACTGCCACACATAACCTTCTTAGTATTTTGGTGACTTAGGTAAGAATTTCTCAAAGTTATTTACATGTTATTAGTATTAGTATGTAATGCTTAGGTTATGTGTATTTTAATGAACCAAATGCAACAGATGCAAGGCAGTAATGTAAAGTAAGGGGATTTCTATTTTGAACACTCTAGAGTAAATGGTAAGATGTTTTTTACTTTAATATCAATGCATGCATGGAAAAAAACCTAAGATTGAAAGACCATCAGCAAGGGTATGTGTACATCACTCAGTTTAGCTAGGGTTGTTACCTCAACACCAGTGGCCTTGGAGCAATGCTACCACTAGCAACTGCTATTCAAATGAGTCCCTTCATCACATGGCTCAATCTAATAAGGCATAGTCACACAATACCTAGGTTGGGACTCATAACTCCAACTCTTCAATAGGCAACAGAATAGCATGACAAACAAATTCAGTGGGTAGGCATAACACAATAAGATGTTAGGGGGGTTGCTGAAACACAAACATATATGCACAATGATATTCCATAGGGTTGTCAATGTGCATAAGAGTGGGACTCTTAGTAATATAAACTCAAGAACAACACAGCCTCACCAGTAGTGGAACATTCAAGGCAACACAGAACAACCAACACAGAGAGTACCACAAGCTTTGTGCAAATAACAGTCTTACCAACATAACCAACATAACACTGCATCATTCATCAACTAAACAAACCCCTGGCCATTATGAAACCAAAACTAAAGGCATCACACAACAACCAACACAGAGAGTACCACAAGCCATATGCACACACAGTTAAACACAAACACATACAAATCCAACACAGAAATAACAACATTCCTTGTATACACAACAATGATAGAGGGACTCAAAACACAAGTAAACCAGCAACAATAACACAAATGGAGGACAAAATAAAGATGATTTGAGGAGAAGAAAGGTTATACGCTGCAGGGTTAATTGGTAGAGAACCACTCAGGGTGCATATCCCTCCGAAAATCCATGTAATCCTCATCACAGAGAAGCTTAGGATCAACAGGCAGCCCAGATCTTACCCTTTTCATCCCTGAGAGGGATCCTTTCTTCTGCTGTTTGGCTGTCACCGACTTACCACCTTCGACCGCCGCCTTTACAGGGGACTCAATGACCACCCCTTTGGAAGACCCAACACCTTCCCCTTCACAGATCCCTGCCCTTTAGTTTCCTCTTCCAGATCTGTAACCTCAATAGGGTTTTTGGAGGTTTTCCCGGCCAATTCAGACTGGACCTCACTCTCTTCATCAGAAGGCACCACGACGAACCCTACAAGAAAGCGCCCTCATCCGAGCACGGCGCAAGGGTTTTATCTTCCCAGAACCTCTCACAGATGTATCGAGTCGCACCTGGAGGGAGGTCATCCTTTGGTGATTCAGGGGGGAGATTCTCAAAGCAAAACAAGGAAGGGTCGTTTTTTTTCAGAGGAACTCATGTTCGTAGTAGAGGAAAAAAGGTAGATCTTGAAGGGGGATAAGGTGGAAATTTAGGAACAAGGAGAAAGCGGCGAATCACAGCACAAGAACTAGGGTTCCAAAAAAACAGGGGAGAGAAAGTGTCGAATTTAAAGGGAGATGAGAGAGACGGTGAAGCCATGGAGTAATTGTAGGTAGGTGAAAAATCTGGAGATGAATTGAATGAGGTGGTTGGGAAGATGAAGAATTTTGTTCTTCAATCAGTAGGATACAAATAGAGGGGAGATAAAAGGGTTCTGATTTTTTTGGTGGGAATGGTTAGTTAATGATGAAGACTTAATAATCTCATTATGAATTAGTAAGGGGCAATTACCATTTTAATGATACATAAACAAGGGTAAAAAGGTAAATTGACCTACTAAAATATACTAATTAAGGAAAATAAACATTTGTTGCAAGAAATGTGAACCTTCCATAAATGGCAAATGTTGCAAGAAATAAGAAACGGAGGGAGTATTTTTTATTTGGCACACATCACAAATCTTTTGAGTCTATATTTATTCAATATAAATTTTGATACATTTCTTTTAAATAACTAAAATAAATAATATAATATTTAATTTAAACATTATAAAATCTTGTAAAAGCTTGGTTGGGAAGCTAACCAGATTTTATTATTAAGAAAATAAGTACCACAACTTTTATGTACCAATTTCTTGGCAAACTCCAAAGCCTTTTTTTAAAAATAAATGTGCAGTACATCTCTCTTTCTTGGGAAGTCAGAAAGCTTTTTTAAATAAAGTTATTCCTCAAAAAAAATAAAATAAAGGTAAAGAAATACTTAAAACCCTTCATCTTCCTTTAATGACCGCTTTCTTCGTTCTTCCCTCTTTGCTCTCTCTCTAGAGGCTTCTTTTCTTCATTGGCTACTGTGAATAGCCGTACCCGAGGGCTAGATGGTGAGTCCGGAACGGATTTCATACCCAGATCCGTGTACGACCCGGGTATGACAGCAAAAATGCCGTGTCCGAGTAACAGAGATATTGGGCCACAAATTTTCCATAATAGCCTGTTAGCCTCTCAAGTCTCAACTCCCTTAAATTTATTGGTTGGCCAATCCACAATGGCTCTAATCTTTTCATCATCCATTGCAACACCTTGGCTTGAAATTGCTTGACCAAATAAGCTACTTGTTTTCTTCCAAACTCACATTTCTTGTCATACAACTTGTGAGTAGTCAGTGTCTCTCCATTACTTGCTTCAAGTGACTTGCATGCTCCATTTCATCTTGCTATACTCCAGTATATCATCAAAGAAGACCAAAACGAACTTGCGTAGAAAGGGCCTAAAGATCTCATTCATGAGAGATTGAGAAGTAGCCGGTGCATTTGTTAACTCGAAGGGCATTACTAGAAACTCGTAATGTCCTTCATGTGTATGAAAAGCCGTTTTATGGACATACTCTAATTTGATGGTACCCCGATTTTAAATCGAGTTTCGAAAACACCCTTGCTCCATGTAACTCATCAAGGAGCTCATCAATCACCGGTATGGAATATTTATCCGGTACCGTTGCTTTGTTTAGAGCCCTATAGTCGATGTAAAAACGCCATGACTCATCTTTCTTCTTGACTAGGAGCACCGGGCTTGAAAAAGGACTAATGTAAGGTCTTATTATTCCGGCTTCTAGCACCTCGCTTATGAGATTCTCGATCTCGTCGTTGTGGACTTGGGGGTATCGGTATAGCCTCACACTAACTGGATCACTCCCTCCCTTTAATGTGATGGCGTGTTCATGCCCCCTCACCACCTTGCGGCATCTTAAAAACCATCCCATACTCCATACTCCAGACCCTTCTCACAAAATCCGACGGGTCCCTTTTCTCCTTCTTGATACTTCCCATCTCCATTTGGTTGACTTCAATCAAAACCCCACTCCCTTGCTTGCATATAGCATGGATCATGGCTTTTAGAGAAATTTGGGTTTTCTCTAAAGTTGGATCACCCTTCAAAAGTACTGGAGTATCGGCTATCTCGAATTGCATTTCATGAATTTTCCAATTAGTGGTGATCGCTCCAAGTTTCTCCAACCATTTGACCACAAAAAATTCACACAAACCCCAAAATTGTTGCTTTGAATGCCCAAAGCTTTTAGCCATTAAAGGATGTATCTACTCTCTACAATCCCTTTTCAACGTTCTTTTCTTTTCAATCCAACTCTATTTTTCCCTAATTACAACCCTTTAACCACAAATAATTCACACAAACCCCAAAATTGTTGCTTTGAATGCCAATATTTTTATCAATTCACTTTTGACATTAGCTTTACCCCAAAATTGTTGCTTCGTTTTCTCACATCAAATTTACCTCATAATTGAGAAGGGCCCTCAATCTCAAGGTATCATCCCTCCCAAACCTTAACTTTCAAGAGAGATATTACCAGTGATGGGAAGATGATTATAACAAGCACGGGATGGATTTTTATCATACGACAAACTTACTTGAGAAACCCACCTACATGTCCCTAATTGCTTGAAAACCGTGATGAATTATATGACACTATATTATTGTAAAGATGGTGCAAGGAGGAGGGAGCATTTAATTTGAGGAATGGCTACTTTCCAATGTAATGACAATGATGAACTAAAGATGAAGATTTGGAGTGCAATGAAGAAGAAGAAGATGGAGATGAGAAGAGGCACATGACGGTCACGTGAGAGTCAATGTCAAAAAAGGGTTTGTGGAAAAATGGAGTAAGGTTGCATCTTAAAATAAAAATTGTTTATGGTTCTGCTGCCAGAGGTCGTTCTGTCAAATTTTCCTTGTTAATAATCATTTCAAACTTTTAAACATCACATCTTTAACCCTTTAATTTTTCAATCGTTTTTATTTTATTTTTTTTTATTTACTTCTAAACAACATATTTGCATTACCATAACCTCACTACAATGTCTCCCCTCAATATTCGTGTCCAACCCAAATGAGAAATCTAATTGGGGACGGAGGGAGGGGGGGGGGGGGGGAGAGTAATTCACAACCTGTTGTGGACCCATGGAAGTACTTTTCACACATTTTGATGCAAGCAAATGTTACATAGGTTTTGGACTCCTCAAGAATTGTATGGGATTATGGTCTTTTTTTTTTGGGGGGTGTCACCTTATTACATTAATTTATAATGAGATTATATAAGTGAATGACAATTAAGCTTAGTGGTAACTTACTAACTTGTAAGGTGGCTTGAGGTTAATTTATATTTGCATCACCATTCTTTATAGCTCTTCCCAAAAGAGGGAAATACTTTTGATCAATTAGGCAGACAGCCAGCAGTACTTTTACGCCTGTCTTGCAGAAGTAAACTAGTGATGCTAAGCGATATGTTATTATTTATACTTTGTTTTGCAGAAATTTGTTGCCAAACCTTATTACCTTAAACGAGAGAAGCACAAGGCAGTAGAAATCATGGAGAAAACCTCAGGGCAGGTATAAACATAATTATATATGCTACTTGAACTGTGTTACTTCTGAATGCATACAATTCATGCTTACTATCAAAAAAAAGGAGGCCAAAGGGTTGCCATTGTAGCTACAAGTAGAACACTGATGATTTATTAGCCTGTTATAGAAAACTGTTGATGTAGTTTCTGGATTTTTTTATAGAGTCTCCTATGATAATATTGTACTCTGTATTTTTCTTCTTAAAATTAATGTAGAGAAGTGTCCCATTAATTTAAACCTTGTTGGATTAGAAAATAAATCTTAGGAATATTTTCTGAAAACAGTCCACCTTTTTTTTTTCCCTGATCAATCTTAAGTATGTACAACTTCTTCCCCTCTAATTCCATACATTAAGTGACTAATGTTTGCTCGGGGAATATGATCATGTTTTTCTGCCATTTCTTTTCCCTTTCCAAATTTCTTTTTTAACGTTTGAACAGGGAAGTGTTTATGTGTTTGGAGTTGGGACTTGAAATCTCTGCCATCTATGAGATTATGATATATGTCTGGCAATCACTTTATCCCCAACACTTTGATCTAGGTTCGTGAAGCTAGAGTAGCAGCAGCAAAGGCTCAGCAGCTGTTAGAAAATGTGGCCAATAGAAAGATGAATAAACAAATTGAAATTGGTGGATTGATCATCACAAAAGCAGTTTATGGAAGTGCAAAAGCTCTGAAAAAGCTGGATGATGTGGAAAAATCAAGTGATGAATTGGCTTCACAAGTTATTGATGTTACTATACCTCTGAATTTCTTGGTTAATGATTTGGGGCAACTACAGGTATGATCCCTGTTAGTTTCTTATGAAAGCATGCAATTTCTTGTATTTCAATTTGAATTTTGATATTCCTTGGCTTTTCCGTCTATTTTTTCCTTTAAATTTTTGAGCTGCAAAGATTGATTTGTCAATTATAATGATAAGGCAAATCAACAAACTCAAAACAGATGTTTGAGCACTCAAATTATTTGTAAATTGTAATGGCAGTTCAAAATATTTGTTTTGACTATGTTCAGGTTTCTAAGCTTCAACTATGATATGAGAAATGTTTAGGTGAGATAGATTTGAATGCCTGCCAGGTTAATTGGAATCGAGGCCAAACATTGCCTGCCTTGTCTTCAATGTCTTATTATAATTTTCTTGCCTTAAACCCAATGACATGCATTGTGGTTTTGTACTTGTGTGTGAATATTGCTATCGAAGTACTTGGTTAATTTTCCTTTCGGCACAGCTTCATGAAGGTGTGAAGAAATCAGGTATTATGGGTTTTGTGACCCATGTCCAGGAGAACATAAGAAACTGCTGGTCAGGTACACATGCAACGGTCAAAACTACCAGGTAATTTTATTTGTTTTGTTAGATAATTGTAAGCTTTGTTAATAGGAGTAAGTTTTAATTTGTTCACATGATTACAAATAGGTGGTGGTTGAAGACTGTGAGGAGCTGCGGATACCCCAGGAAGCTCACAAGCTCTAGACTTTTTCTTCAGTAACAAGAGCATCATCACCTCCTTAAATCACCTATGAAGCACCTATAGCTTGTTTTGAGGCCCGTAAAGCATCACAAAGGTCATACTGTAGTCTTATGTTCAATTATCACAAAAGTAAAAATAAAGACACAGTAGTACAGTACAATATTTATAGTTATATCTTCTTATTGTGATTATCTAGTCAATAATGCAATAATTATGCCATATGTATCATTTTTGTTTGAGGCTTTAAATGGCTGGAACATTTTTTGTTTTAATTGATTCTTTCTCAGAACTGAGAGTGCAAACTAATCAGACTGATTATTGTATAACAATTAACAAGGCGTCTTCTTTTGTTATATGGTGCCTTTGTTTTTTTCCTTCCAAAAAGTTGCAATTCTCAAGTGCATATTTTTAGGAGGAACTTAACAGCGTAAATTACTGGGGGGAATTATGGTAGTAGTTGCATATGTATAATGCTCACTATGCATCATAAATAAAAGATATTTTCTTAAGAATTTCGTGAATTATATAATAATTATCATATTCTCTAATCTGCAATTCAATATTACAATTTTTTTTTTAGAGTCTCATTAAGCTTTAGATGGAAAAAGTCACAAAGACTTTCATTTCCTCTCTGTTACTAACCGTTATAGGTTCATAATATGGATTAAGTTGATATCGTATGTTCCATAAACATAGTAAAACCCTAGCCCTTAGAGGAGAGATTCAAGAGATTTACAAAAAAAGTAACTCGTATCTCATAAATGAAATTAATGTTTCCATAATTTTCGTCCCTTTCATACGTATATTGCAAATTTGAATTTTTATTGTTTACTACATCAGCAAAATAGCTAGTAAATACCAAAGAACATCATTAAAAAACAAAAACCTATGAGTTATGACATAAGAAGATAATTAACCCAAAAATACATAAAGGTTATTATGTTAAAATAATAGGCATTGGGATATAACAAAGTTCATAAGAGATTATTATATTTTATAATGAATTTTTATAATATAAAATAAATATGAATGATAACACAAAGTTTTATATGTGGCTGGTCACACCGTGCGGCCAGTCACAATTTTATTTTATTTTTTTTTAAACTGTTTTTTCGCTCTCTTTCTCTCTCCTCTTTTCTTCTTCTTCAAGCTAGAACCTTCATCTCATTTTCTCAGAGAACACAAAGTTTACAACTGTCATCAATAGTCGTCTTCGTTGTTTGGTGGTTCGTTCCTCGAAAGTGGTGGCTTCGCTGGGAGGGTAGTGGTGGTTTGGTTACTCCGTCGCTGGAAACGGAGAAGAGATTTAGCCGAAAACCTTTCGAGCATGTTATATTCAAGCTCAAAAGGAAGGCGTCTAGACTGCAATAAGATGTTACTGTATTCTTCTTCTTACTTTTCGATTTTAGAGGCTTAATTTTTGTGAATAATTTGAGGAACATTTGTGAACATGATGACATGATGATGCGCTTTTAGAAGTTTTGTTGTCCACCATAATTTGTCAAATTAAAGAACAAATAGAAACCTGGAAATA